TAAGCTCAATTGGAGAATTTTTCCAGTTCAGCTATGTTGTGCTAGATTGTTCACTTCTCCAAACTCTTCACTCTTTCAATATCAATATCAATATCAAAATTGGCCACTAGATGGAGCTGAAGAGAAAACATCTCTATTTACAGCAGCTTAGACTGTTTTCCTGTGATAAAAAAATCTCCCAACATCCCTCTACCCAAAGGGAAGAAAACAAGTGCATATTGGGAGTTCAGGTTCCATTTTAGAAAGAGGAAGCAAGAATCAACTGCCATCTGCAGCACATGTCTGGAGAAAAGAGCCCTAATCCTCCTTAGGCAGCATCGCTGGTATGAATGGACTTGTTTCTTTCTGTATTTGATTTATATACTGATTGTATGTTTCTATGTTCTTTATCACCAGTTTCACCCACCCTGTTTTGTTAATTAAACATCACGATTTCACCCAGTCTACCTTATTACTGAATAGGAGGGTTTAGCTGCATGTTGAGCTATGCATTGGCCACCATAGCAGAGACAGAACACTCCCCTTTTCTCAATGCTGGGTGTAGGGTTGCCACCTTTTCTTCAAGCGAAACCCGAACACTCTAGCGACACGCGGACCTATTTTTTGGGGAGAATGAGTCGTGGCTTAGTCATATGTAACTAGCACCACCCATTAATATGTAAATATCACAGTTGAGACTATTTTCAGTGGGGGGCCAGTAGCCCCTATCTTAATTTTGGTTGCCCCTGTCTGCCTGACATCATGTGTCCGGGTTCCTGGTTCCATGAAACCCGGACACAGCATTCAAAACCCGAACTGTCCGGGTGAATCCTGGACAGGTGGCAACCCTAGCTGGGTGGCCAGATTTGGTCATCCATGGTGAAAGCCTAATAAAACAGATAAGGTTAGTCAAGGTGGCTGCTGATTTCCTACATTGTTGGGGACAAAGGGTATTGTTCTTTATTATTTATTTATTATAGGTATTTATATAGCGCCGACAATTTATGCAGCGCTTTACATAGTGAACATTCACATTAGTCCCTACCCTCAAGGAGCTTACAGTCTAAGGTCCCTAACACACATCCATACAGGGCCAATTTAGACAGGACCCAATTAATCTTCCAGAATGTGGGAGGAAACTGGAGTACCCGGAGGAAACGTACGCAAGCACAGGGATTACATGCAAACTCGCAGATAGGGACCTGGCCAGGATTTTAACCAGGGACCCTGAGCGCTGCAAGGCAGAAGTGCTAACCACAATGCCACTGTGCTGCCCGTTTGAGGGCCATACACATGCGTCCTGAAACAACTGCATCCTCTTTACCAATCATGGTATAAATGAAAAAGGGAAAATCTCTCACTTGAAACCTTGGTAGTGGCAGAGAAAGAAAACATTTGTCTGAAATTAATGTGAGCATGTATGGGCAACATTTGGCTATCCTGTTGCTGGAGTTTTGAGTTCTGATACGGGTACATCAACCTTCTGTAACTACGAGCAACAAACAAATTGTGTAAAAAATGGCTATAAAAGGCTGGTCACAATTCACTAGAATTTCATTTTACATATTACTGTATCTATCACACCTCCATGTGATAGCCCATTTACACTTGTGAAAGTACACTGACTAATCTGTAAAGAATTAGGGATAACGTAATGTATAGACGTAGAGGGACAGGCTCAGTGTGTGTGGCAACGCAAAACAGAAACAATATTTATCTCATTAATTATATCATGAATGGTGCAGACTAAACATTGGAAGGAGAATATATGGGTTATTTATTATTAATAAGGCGCATATAATCTACAAAGAGACATTGACGGTCAGTACATAAATATGTTCAATTCATCTCTATTACTCCATGTCTCATAACCACCAGAACATGGGAATGACAGTTAAAGAAATATAAAGTAGGTCACATGTGACGTAATGCTGCGTGAGTTATTAGGAAAGTGGGTAAATGTATTAGTGGAGGACCTGCTGCCAAAACTTGAGCAATGGCAGATAGTGATTATTACTTGGTATGGTGAGAAAATGAAGCCAACAATAAATTAAGCAAATCACAATGAGAAGAGTACCTAGTGGTCATGGGCAAAGGAGACCACACCAACATGGCTAAACTAGTCAAGGTAACAGCACTGGTAACGCTAAACAGACAAAACACTATATGATACAGTTTAAAGCCCAACCTTGGGCTAATTTTACACCTTCCCTGGAGGTTTCTGGGTCCCTCTGGGTTTAGTGGTGGTTATGGTTGCTCCCTGGGTCTAGTGGTGATTTTAGCGGTGGTCACTGGGTCTAGCAGTGATTTAGGTGGTGGCTACTCTCTGGGTCTAGTGGTGGTGGTCAATCTCTGGGTCTAGCAATGATTTTGGTGGTGGTTACTTTCTGGGTCTAGTGGTGGTGGTTACTCTCTGGGTCTAGTGGTGGTAGTTACTTTCTGGGTCGTGGTAATTATGATGGAGTTCACTCTCTAGTGATGATGATGAGAATGATCACTCTTTGGATCTAGTGGTAATTGTGGTGGTGGTCAGACTCTGGGACTAGTGACAGTTATGCTGGTTCTGGGTGGTGGTTACTCTCTGGGTTGTGGTAATTATGATAGAGTTCACTCTCTAGGTCTAGTGGTAATTATGTTGGTGGTCACTCTTTGGGTCTAGTGGTGCTGGTCACTATGTGGGTCTAGTGGTGATGATGAGGACGATCACTCTTTGGATCTAGTGGTGATTGTGGTGGTGGTCAGACTCTGGGTCTAGTGACAGTTATGCTGGTTGTCACTCTCTGGGTTAGTGTTGATTATGATGTTGGTTACTTTCTGGGTCTAGTGGTGATTATGGTGGTGGTCACTCTCTGGGTCCAGTGATGACTATGGTTGTAAAGCAGGTTGTTTACCACAACAGTAGAAGTGATTTTTTTCTGAAGATATGGGTAAACAACGCGATTTAACAGCCTTTGACCGTGGGATGATTGTTGGCGCTCAGAGCTGTTGTTAAAGTGTTTAAAGACTGGACAGTCAGCTGAAAATCTGGGTCTGAACGTGCGAATTGTGGCCGTCAGCGACTAGTCAATGTTAGGGCAGAACGGAGAGTGGCAAGACTGGTACAAGACAACAGAAGGGCAACAGTGCAGTGTCAGATTCCTCGCATCACCTTTCAACATCTTGT